ACCCGGGTAGACTTGGACGGATCAACCCGTGGATTTACCCGCAGCCCAACTATAGTTGTTAGATGAAACCTCTAGCTTTCACGCTGACGAAATGCGAAGCCTAGTTTCGTCTTTCGTCAATTAAAATTTTAAATGACGAAACTGACAAAACTGTAAGGGGTAGTGTTTTGACCCGGGTTGAGATATTACCAACCGGTGGGTCAACCCGCGGGTGACCCGTGGAGAAACGAAGTTTCAGAATTTTAGACAGTCAGGACCGTAAAATACAAGCAAGGTCGACGGAGAGTTTCGGAATTGAATATATATATATTTTACAGCAGGTTTCATAACTTCTGGAACCACTGAAAAAATTGCCAATAACCGAATCGATAAGTTTCTGAGTTTGGCCAAAGTTGGGTACTTATTGATTCCGACTCGGTAACTTATCGATTCGGTTATCGGCAATTTTTTCAGTTGTTTCAAAATTTATGAGCTGTAATGATGTGTGTACCACTCGTTAGCTTCCCACCGAGTGACGGGCGGGTGATGACATTTTTCATATGACCCGATTTCACTCGGGTGACTTATAGCTCACCCGTTGGGTGACCCAGGTTAGATGGGTCAAATCAAAGCGATTAGAAAATTTTATACGTGTCCTGGGTCACTCGGTTTACCTTCAGCGAGTCACCTGGTTTACCTCCAACGGGTCACCCGGCTTACCTCCAACGGGTCACCCAGGAGAATGACCGACGAGATTTTCACCCGGGTGGCACATGGCCCACCCGATGAGTGACCCGGGTGGCGATTTTTTAGACGGGCCAAAGCACTAGTAAGGGAGATAAGCTAATAAAAAACGGATGTACAAATAAATGTTGAAATTATTGAAGATTATATGTATAAAAAAAATAAAAAAAAGCAGAAATTTATAAAAATTACAATAAAAAAATAATAATAATAATTTATTGTATAATAGGAGCTTGAAATGAGATTTTAATTTATTTTATATTGATATTTAGGTATACTCATATATCTAAAATTTCGTGCTGAAAACTTTTGTTTAGAAGTCAAACTACGTTTACACTTCAGAGCAATACTTCAGAACAATACTCTAGTTAATAATACTTCAGAGCAATACTCTAGTTTATACTCTAAAGCAATACTCTAGTTTATACTTTAGGTAATACTCCAAATAGAGTTACCATATAACCACAAAATAATGCACAGAGGTGTAATTACGGTTATCATAGTAAAATCTTGAGTTATTTACGATTTTTCAGTTTTCTCAATGAGAAAACAAAAAATCGTAAATAACTTAATATTTTACTATGATAACCGTAGTTTGACTTCTAAACAAAAGTTTTCAGCACGAAATTTTATTTATATGAGTATACTCAAATATCGAATTTAAAGTATGTACATATGATGAAATGGTTTTTTTTTATATAAAATTCCAAATCCACTTACTGCACTTTTCAAATTACTGTGATCAGTAATTTTCATTTATCACACACCACACAGAAATCTGAAAGTCAGAAATCTGAATATCGGGAGTTTAAAATTGAATATAAATACCAAAATAATTATAAATACAAACCTAATTAAACGTTATTCTTTTCCAAATTAGTAAACTTATGTCAGATAAAATAAATACAAAACTTCAAATATTACTGTGGCACCTTGGGTGGCTGATCGTCTAATAAAATCAAACATATGTATAGTCCCATATAAATTTGTAATATTGCAGATTTTTTTTAATCATTATTATTATGTATAAAAAAAAATAGTAATCATGATATATTATTTATGCTTTTTTTTTTAAATATATTTAAATGAAGCTTTTAATTATATTTATTTCATTTATTTATATTATAATTATTAAGTTGTATATAACAGTATTTAATAAACTATATGTATTTGAAGCAAGCCGCAAATATAACTAATATTTAAAGTTCAAATTTAATCTTATTTACTAAACATATGTTTGAAGAGTTGTTCAGCTTGAATATTATCTAATTGACTTTGTACTTTGTAAAAAATATTTTTTGATTCTTTTCTCTCAGAACGAATTTCTTTAAGACTAGCTTTTAAGTTCTTCTTGTTAACCTTTTTTGTAGTTAATCATAACTTTGATTCTCGAAGATTCATTACCATATTAGAATGCATTTTTAAATCTAATTTATTAAACAATCCTTCAAGCTTTTGTTGGTGAATTTTAATACTGAAAATTTTAGTTTTGATAAATTCGTAAATATGAGGATAGTAATGTAATGAAGTACTTGTTGATGTACAGAATTCTTCAAATTCATGATAAAAACAATTATTGTCATAATTTAGATAATCCAAAGTCATCTGTATTAAAATTGGTAATGTCATCTTCTAATTCTTTTGCAAATTGAATTTTATCTGCATTTGGTATGCTTATCGATAGTTGTTTTAAAACAATATGGTGAAAACTTCAAGCAAATGATTGACCAGTATTACTTCCTAATCAGCAAATTGACAATAGTAAATGTTGCCAAGATGTTATCCATTTTGTGAAATGATCAAATGCTTTTTGAATTCCATTTTCAAGATCGTTAAGAATTTCTTTAAATTGTTCTGTATCTAAAAGATCTACAGCTTTCAACAGTTCATTAGTGAAGAAAAGTTCAAAATTTTTTTAATATCATCTAAATTATTAATCTATTTGATTACTTTATCAGGCATCTTATGTGACTAATAACTATTTGAAAGCTTTTTAAAATTATTTTCATTGCATATTCTTGGATTAGTATCTTATCCAACCATGAACTGTACTAATGGCTCATATAAATATGTTCCAAATTGTACTAAAGATTTGGTTTGAATCATTAGTTTTGAATTTTGCATCTATTGTAAAAAAAGATATCACTTTTGAAGATATGTTTGAGAAGGTTTATGAATTGATGTATAAACCAATTAGCAAACTTTAAATATGATGAATAATGCTCTAAATATTGTTTAAGAGTAAGTAATTCATAGCCCCAATGCTTACAAATTGGTCATTGGTATTAAGTAAAATGTAATCCTAAATAGCTTTGATATAGATCTTTAATTTTTTTTCTAGTTATATTTAAAGCTTTATTATTATCACTTATATTATGCAATTCCCATGCTAAATAAACCAAATTATATAGATGCATAAAGTTTGTAAAACTAATAGTTAAAGAAAGTTTTCTGAATGCAGTTTGTTCAAAGTTATTAAATACAATGTGCATGAAATGTAATCTGCATTTAATTTTTATTAATTTAGACTTGGTTAACTTATTAAAAAGAATAGTTGTACTATTATTTTTGCCTGACATATAGGCAGTGTTGTTAGATAACTATACAAATCATTTTTTAGGATCAATTTGAGAATTTTTCATTATATATTGAACTGTTTCTGATACTAATTTTCTATCATATTTATCAATATCTTGAAGATGTGTTATTGCAGTTAAAGGTTCATTATGAGTGAAGCTCCAAAACATGAAACATATTATAAAGTTTTTAATTTCACTATGCTTGGATTCATCAACTATAATTCCATAGCTAAAAATATTTTATATTTTATTAAAATAAGAATTGATATGCAATTTAGAAATATTTTGATGCTATAAAGATAGTGTACTATTAGAAAACCAAGTTTTGGGAGGTTTGCCAATTAGAAATTTATATATTAATTTTGTGCACTCTGTAGCTAAGTGTATAGAAACCTGTTCAACTTGTGTTATCTGTGTAGCCAACCAAATTAAATCTGTTGGATATTGTTGTTTATTTTCTTTAAATAATAATTTAATATATTGTTTAAATTTTTTAGAAGAAAAAGATGAAGATTTTCAAACATATGAATGAATTTAAGAAATTTAGTGAGTGCTTTTATCTTGTAAATATCATATTATTGATCCCAATGATTGTGTTTTATGAATTAATTGCATATTTTGATTTTTTAATTTTTGAATTTCATGTTGTAATTTACTATTATCTCTTTTTAATAATTTAAATGTTGTTGATTTATAAAGAGATTCATGAATAAATCATAATGCCTTATCTTGCAGATATATAGATAGTATTTGTCTTGTACACCTTTTGAATATCGCATTATAGTAATCATGTGATTTGTTGAATATATCTCCTTTAGAGATAATTTGTGAACTAAAGAAATTAATTCATTTTGCTTGTTGTTTTCTTCTGACAATGAATTATTATAAAATGATTTCTCAATCATTTTGCATGCTGAATCTAATTGTTGTTGATTTATTTTAGACAAATAATGCTTATGAATTGCAGATCTATGTTTGATTTCAACACCTTTTTGTACAGCTTTTCTAGACTATAATCTACACTTTGATGGTTTAGTCATTTTTTAAAAATTTAAATAATTATAACATTTTAACTATGCAACGAATTAATACCAAACTTGGTAAAAAGATAATTAAACACTTCTTTTATAAAATTACACTAAAATATTTATACTTTATATATAGTCTTACCAATTTATATAATATATACTTTAAAAAATATATTAGGCTATATATATTTATCAATTTGAACTATGTATTATTAATTAAAAATTTTAATATAGTATGTAAATTTTAAGTGCATAACTTTACTAAAAATACAATGAAGATTGTAAAACTTAAAAATTAGAAAGAAAAAAAATTATTAAGTAAGTTATAATCAAAAGTATTTTACTATTTTTTTACTATAAAATTGTCTTATAATTTTTAATCAAAAAATCTATCATTATAAAAAATTAATTAAACTAGACATATGTTTGATTCTATTAGATAATCAGCCACCTCAGTAGCACCTGCTTTGGGTGTCAAAAATGTTTGTACTACACAGTTGATTTGCATGATGATTCTTGCAGTTGTAAGTTTTCTCAAGTGCTAACAAGAAAAAATAAAACATATTTAGTTAAACAAGCGTATATATGCTATTTTGAACCTACCTGTGAAATACCCAAATTTGATTATATTCATGAAATTCAATTACAAAATAAATTTGAAAGAACCTTTTCAGCTTTCTCTTTGTAGATGTTGCAATAATGGTTTAAATCGATTGAAATCTAAAGATAAAAAAAAGCAATAAAAACAACAACTAAACCAGATAAACTGGACAATGTAACTTTATTTTTTTATTATTACATATACTTTATTTAGTATTGTATTTACCTATTATTTACTTTCACTTTTATTTTAAAGAAGGTGATTGAATCACCTTCCTCATCAATATCTATTGCAGTAAGTGAAGACATAACAAACAAAGATGAATTGAGTAGTGATAATGAACCTGAAGTTATAGTAGATTATAAGTTGTTTATAAAAATAGCAAATAGTGTTTTATTACATGCCAAGTGGTTTAAAGAATAAAAAAATTAGTATACTAATGGATGATTAGTTATAAAATTGAAATTCAACAAGAAATCATTGAAATTCTTAATTTTTAAGTAGTGTTTTTTAAGAAAAATAAGAATTTAAAAAAAATCTGATGATTTCAGTGTGATGTATGATCATCAGGTAATCACACTAATTTGAAAAGTGCAGTAAATTCCATTTCCACCTACAACATATATAAGACATTCTTTGTAAATTCTTGCAATAAGGTTATGGAAAGGCATGCATGTGATTAGCTATATCTATCCAGCAGGCAGAATTGGCAATGTAACCAATAAAGCCAATGAAACCAATGGAGTCAAATGAAACCTATGTATCTATTGAGCTTTTTCTCAATGATAGCAATATTGACAACCCTGCAAACAGGTTATACAAATAATGAACCATTCACGAGCAGAAAATAGAAACCTATATGTAAATAATCAAGTTACTCAAATATTTCTATTGAAAACTTAACTGACAAAATTACTACTATTACTCATGTAATATGACAAAGTAATTTTTTGTCTAATCAATATATTTCATCAGATCTGTGTAGCACACGAAAGTGTTACTTACTCTTGTTTTCCATTGTATGAATGGGATGATACTAAAAGAAGCTCTGTATATTGTACCAATCCAAAGATTCTAATAACACGTATTCTATTAATACCTTTTGAGAGCTCACATACCGTTGTATAAAAGTTCTATGTTTGGATGTACTGATTTTCTTTTGGTGGCACTCATATAATATCCAAATTTTACTGGCTCTATGACTATTTAATGGTGCTTGTCGAACTTGGTATATCATCTTCATGGACCTTATTAAGACAAGAAATTTATTAGAATAGGTGTATTTGTTTTCAAAAACAAGACAACACGTCCAAAAACTGCTGTAAATGGGTGTATATGTGATCCCCTTTGACAATAGATTTACCATCGATTAGATCTGAGTGTGAACCACGGGGTCTTATTAATAAAAAACGTTTTTTTTCAAGTAGCTTTAATACCTATTATAAATGTAAGTGTATATACACTTTAAAATTTTTTATTTCCTTTTAATGATATAGCCTCTTACCGTGTATTATAGCCAGGACTTATTAAAGGTTTTAAAATTTGTGAAATAAAATAGTCCTGTGACCAAAAAATATTATCATATTTGACGCGTTCATGATCTGCATGATCGACGAAGTTTCTCAAATAGGTGTACAAATAAAATTCCTACGTGTTTAAGGTTTAATAATGTTTTAATTATCTAAAAACGGATTTTACCATCATGTGATGATTATAGCGATTTTGCTAGAACACTACTCAAGTTTCATGTCGTATAAAAAATTACAATCTATATCATTCGAATTTAAATAAAAGAAATTAATCTTAACAATTTACAAACAAAAATTTGAAATATTAAGCTTTAAGGTTAAAATCTTCTTAACAATATATATTTTCTTTCTTAGAAGAATGCTTATAATAGATCACTATTTACTTACTCTCTATTCATGCGTCAATACAAAACCGCCGTGTATACTATCACAATTATTTTTTGTGCTGTAGAATTCCCGAATAGAATTCTATTATTTCATTTGAATATAGATGATAACCTATTTTATTGGATTCATTTTTACATATGGAACGGTTTCGGACTCAAATTTGAATACTTAAGGCCAGACCAATTTAATTCTTCGTTTAACATAACCCCCTCCCCCCTATTTTTCAAAATTTATATGAACCCAATA